TGTAATAATTATTCTGCTCATACTCGAGTCTTAATTCATTGATAACTTTTTTATTTTCAGTGTAGAACTAATAGGCACGCCGGACTAGTATACGGAAAGTCGAGGGTTCGAATCCTAGCGTCAGACATGAGCGTGACTTAAAATATTTTTTCCTTTTTTTTTTAAGTAAAGAATGTTATTTCCTAATTTAAACTTTTTTTGAAGTTTAAAAAAAGTGAAGTATTATTAAAAAAACCTTTTATAATAAATAAAAAAATTTTTTAAATTAAATTTTACACAAAAAGTTGCAGTAATACCAACACACGGTACAAAAAAAAATTTCTTTCCGGTTTTTGTTATAACAAGTGGTAGTTTCAGCAAAAATGAGTTTTAAATTAACAACATTTATTATTTGTATCTGGAAATGAAAGCACTCAGTTCTTACTTCCAGTTGACACTAAAACATGAGTTTAATGCAGGCAATTGTGGAAAGTATAGTGTGTGACCTGGACAAACACGAATTGAGACTGAAAACCAGTGAAATTCACTATAGAAATTGTTTTGTTTTCACCCGTGTCACACAATATGCTAAGACGTAGAGTATTGAATTGTTGAAGATGAAAATAATGTTTATTGTACACATTCTTTATCGTGTTACTTCATTTTCTCAGAAAACGCACAATTTTTTGTTATTCTTGCGTGAAAAATTGCACAAACTACCTTACATATATTATATTTTTTATTAATTTGATTAAAATGCATCTCAGAGAATTACATCGCATTTACAAACAATAAGTATTTTAGATGTAATTTATATTTAGACGTTACGATTGAGTATTTGACTTAGCCGTTTCCAAATAATATTTCTTTTTATCACTAAATTATAAATTTATTTTATTTATTTTTATGAAAAACACCATCCTAAATATTTAAACTCCTATTAAAGTCGAGTCCACGAGACGCGAATATTATTTTATTCATTTTATTACAATGGTACTTTATTCAAGAAGTAAAAAAAAATATACTGAAATATTCTAGAGAGTTAATGATATTAATTGGCTGCAGACTTTGCATGTCTATTTATTTTTTATTCTCTCTCTCTCTCTCTCTCTCTCTCTCTCTCTCTCTCTCTCATTCTTTCTTTCTCTTTTTCTATAACGAATGTAAACACTCATTTTTGTGTTACAAAAAAACATCTCATCTAAAATGAATACTCAAAAAAAAACTTAAAAAACTATTTTTAAAAAATATAAACTCGTGATTTGACGCACTTATTTATTTAATTGAGATTTTAGGTATTATCAATATTTCTTTTTGGTTTAATCTATATATATTTATACAAAAACATACTTCGAACAGATAAATATTATTACAATCGAGAAGTTGCATGGTTGTATGATAATTTCTTAAAACTTTTTATCACCTTGATCATTTGAAGAATAATTAGCGGTTTTATAAGTTTTTAGAAATGTAATCGTATTTTATTTAAAAATTTAAATTACTTAAATTTCCCCCCATCATGTTATTAAAATTAAGTATCAAAAAATATTCAATCTCATTAAAAAAAGAGACAGTATTTTTTTGCACAAGATTTGATCAATTTTAACGATTTTATAAATTTTTCGATAATAATAATAGGGCCATCAAAATTATCGACATCATCATGGTGATCACTGTAGCTATCATGCACATATTCACCATATCATCATATTGATAGGTATCATGCCCGATTATTATTATTATCATGCAAAATACTCATAATAATTATCATGCACATACATCAACATTATCAAGTATAAATATCGTTATTATCATGCATAACAATGATTATCATGCATAACAATGATTATCATGCATAACAATCATTATCATGCATAACAATCATTATCATGCATAACAATCATTATCATGCATAGTTACCATCAATATCATATACACTGATCAATATCATGCTCATCATGATTATGCGGAATCATCAATAATATCATGCCTAATCATTACCATTGTCCTAAATAAAACAATCCGCATCATGTTGATCATCATAGCTATCATGCATAGTCACCATCGTTATCATGCATAATAATCGTTACCATGCTAATTATCATAGGTATCATATACGGTCATCATTATTGTCAAACCTACTCATAAAAATCATAATTCTCATCATAATGAATAATCCTCATTGTTATCATGCATAAAAATAATCATCATCATAGCTATCATACATAGCCATCATGATTGTCATACACATTTATCATCATTACCGTTCTAACCATCATCTTGCTAATTATCATCATTATCATCTTTATCAAGTATAACAATAATCATCATCATAACAATTATGCATAGTTACCATCAATATCATATACATTGATCATCATCATGCTCATCATGATCATGCAGAATCATCAATAATATCACGCATAATCATTAGTATTGTCCTAAATAAACCAATCAGCATCATGTTGATCATCATAGCTATCATGCATAGTCACCATCGTTATCATGCATAATAATCGTTACCATGCTAATTATCATAGGTATCATATACGGTCATCATTATTGTCAAACCTACTCATAAAAATCATAATTCTCATCATAATGAATCATCCTCATTGTTATCATGCATAAAAATAATCATCATCATAGCTATCATACATAGCCATCATGATTGTCATACACATTTATCATCATTACCGTTCTAACCATCATCTTGCTAATTACCATCATTATCATCTTTATCAAGTATAACAATAATCATCATCATAACAATTATGCATAGTTACCATCAATATCATATACATTGATCATCATGCTCATCATGATCATGCAGAATCATCAATAATATCACGCATAATCATTAGTATTGTCCTAAATAAACCAATCAGCATCATGTTGATCATCATAGCTATCATGCATAGTCATCATCCTTATCATACATAACAATCATTACCATGCTAATTATCATGCATGGTCATCATTATTGTCACACCTACTCATAATAACCATAATTTTCATCATGATGGATAATCATTATCGTTATCATGCATAAAAATAATCATCATCATAGTTATCATACATAGTCATCATTACTGTTAGAAAGTTTATCTCGCTATAATGTTAAAAATCATATATATATAGATATAGTTTTAATATTGCAACGGGACCAACTTCCTGACAATAGTCATCATCATTATCATACACATTTATCGTCATTCCCGTTCTAACCATCATAATGCTAATTATCACCATTATCATCTTTATCAAGTATAACAATAATCATGACCATAACTACCATGCTTAGTTACCATCAATATTATATACACTCATCACCATCATACTTATCATTATTATTCAGAATCACCAATAATATCAAAATATCATGCATAATCATTACTACTATCCTAACTAAAACAATCAGAATTATGTTGATCATCATAGCTATCATCGTTATCATGCTTAACAACTATTACCATATGCTAATTACCATAAGGATCATACATGATCATCATTATTGTCAAACCCACTCATAATAATCATAATTCTCATCATGATGAATTGTCATTATCGTTATCATGCATAAAAATAATTATTATCATAGCTATCATACATAGTCATTATCACTATCATACACATTTATCATGTTTACCATTCTAACCATCATCATGTTAATTATCACCATGATCATCATCAAGGATAACAATAATCATGACCATAACTATCATGCATAGTTATCACTATTATCGCCCCCATTATAATATACCATCAATATAGCATGCTATGAATATCATCTTTTTCATTTATAATATAATGATATAGAATAAATAATTTTATACTTGAAAAAATACTGTCCTTTTTTTCCGTTAGTATCTTTTTTTAATTTCTAGAATTTGATTATGTCAATAGTTTTGTCAAATTTGAAGCTATATCATAAATGACCAATATTTTTACATAAATTATTCTCACAATAATAATATTATTTACACAACTATTTAATATCTTATTCATACCCGACCGTTTTACTTTTTCACTGATCTAGAATTTGGATTTTATCAAAATTTTAAACTCCTTTTAAATTTGGCCCACATAAAAACTTCCATTGAATCAACAAAAAAATGTTTCGAATATTTTAATCCAACAGAATAGCATTATATTTAACTTAAATCCTCGTACAAAGTACTTGAAATTTCTATACAAATAATTGGATTTATAATTCAATTACTGAGAAATTCACCTTATACAATTTAATTACTCGACCTATAAAATAGTGCCCGAATAAGTGAGTTATCTTAATTGAGCAGAGAACAGCATAAATTACCCCATTAAATACCTTTTCTTTTAAATTTATCAGTTTATCACAAAGGTGATGAAAAGTCCGTAAATAATCTATGCCTTGTAACCATCATAACATTATCATTATACATGTACTTAACAATTTTTTCTGACAATTGGTTTACCGCCCCTTGGTAATAATTAAATCTGAAAAAAGCACCAAGTACCGAATGAAAAAAAAATTTTTTTTTTAGAAAAAAATAACTTTTTAATAAAACTAAAAAGAAAATTATTACGTAAGAAATTTTTAATTACTATATTCAGATAAGTATTAGAAATATCTTCCTGTTCGAATTTTATTTTAATTTTTCTGCATCGTATAAACATTTAAAGGTAAATTATTATACTGCTTTTTTCAGCAAGTAATTTTTTTTGTTTCAAAAATATTATTAATAAAATCAAATAACTTAATAAAAACTCAATTTAAACCACAATTAAATATTGTAAAATTTTTCTGACATCTCAACAAAAATTTTAAACTTTTAAAAATTTTTTTATTTATTCGACACAAAAATTTTGCTTAAATTAAAATTTTCCTTATTTAAATTAAAAAAAAATTTTGGACTTAAAAATATTAAAAAATTCGGAAAGAGAAAATTTTCGCAAGCTTATCTGAGTATTATTGATATCTTTGATAATTTGGTTGACGGAATGTTGCGGAGAGTAAGTCTCTTTGTTTGGTGTCTGTGATGTTGCAGCGGCTACCAGCGGTGCTCAGCAGGATAGGGATTATATTGGCCAGCCCCTTGGTAAGATCCCCCTTCGCTTTTGGTCCCGCTTAACGCTCTTGTAACTCATCAAATAAACATTCAATTAATTAATTAAACCAAAGATTATAATTTGTAATCCAAAGCTGTGGTTTACATTTAATGATTTACAAGAAAGTACCTGTGGAACCAAACACGCATTAAAAATCCGGCTTTTTATTCATTCAATTTATATATGCATATTTCATAACATTTTATCTCGATATTTATTTTATTGCACATGAGTATGTCATGCTAATTCATGCTTCTTTGCTATTTTTTTATACTAAAAATCTACTCGTTTTTTTGTTTTTAAATCGATTACATCTCAGACAAAAAAGGCAATTAAAAAATATTTTCTTGAGTTGAAAAAAATATTTTTTTAGCATACTGTACAATCCTTTCATCACTTCTGTTTCATGGTTAAATAATTAATTGATTTAAAAAAAAATGTCTGATAGTTAAAAAAAAAAATTAAACGTGTTTTCTTAGAAAATAAAAAAATTTTTTTTGTCTCGACAGGACTCGATTACACTTTAGACATTAATAAGCCCAAATAGAAAATTTCCGTTCCTTATTTTGTTTGTTGACAAATTCTATTAAATAATTTTATTTATTTATATTGAAAGGCATCATTTGTAAATTTTATTATATGAATTCTAATCTAATCAAATGCTTATAGAATTTTTTAAAAATAACAAAATATTTCGATAGTCAGTTTTACATGCTTCAAATGAGAAGTAAGCTTAAAAATTGCAAATTTTGTTATTATATCTTTCTTTCTAAATGGTTAAAAATTCTGAAACTTCGAAATTTGCCAGTCAAAATTATTTTTAAATTGTTAAAAAAAAATTATTGTGTGGTTTTAGGAAACCACGATGCAAGTGAAACTTTTTTTGGATTGTTTACATTCAACTAAAAATTTTCGGACAAGTAATTAATTTAGGGTATTAAACAATAGTAACAGAAATTCTTAGACAATATTGCTGATTTCAAGTTATATAACTTCTAATTTTAGTAAAAAACAATTTTATTGACAGTAAATAACTCGACGACAGTCAAAAGATAGCGGAATGAACTCCAAAGCTTTTACTTGCAAAGCGGTCAATCGACTATTTAATATACCATTAAATAGTTCATGCTTAATAAGGTCTTTTTCAAATTTTTACCTTAAAATAAGAGAAAAACGCAATAATTTTTACGAGCATAATACAAATTAAAAAAAAACGGTAATTATTTACAAGTGGGTTCTTAAAAGTCTTAAGAAAATCTTAAAATAGTCTTTAAAAAAAACTCTGAAAAAATTTTGAGACTCTGAAATAGATATTTATGTCATAAGGCCGTGAAGTGGCGGTTTTCTGACAGCAACGATATTTCGATATGAGCTTAAGGTTTGTGGCGGGAAGGTTCGAAACGGGCGTAATTTTGACGTCCGAGGCGTAGCCGAGGACGGAAATTTACGCTCGTTTTCGAACATTCGCGTCACAAACTTTAAAGCGAATATTGAAAAAAAGTCGTTGTCAAAATCGCCACTAAACGGCCGAATGACGTACAATATTTTTTGTTATTATCGCTCCATAAGTTTAACTTTTGAGGGATAGGAGGCAAATAATGACATATTTAAATTTTAGGAAGTTTCACAAGAGCAAAAAAAATTAATTTTATATTAATTATCTTTTAATTAATCTTAAAATCTTGCTCACGTCCAAAAAATGTAAATAACTTTTTATTAGTATTTATTTATGGCGTCGTTGTTATTTTATTAACATTAGGTCCGCTTCGTAATAAACTGCCAGTAGAGAAATAATTAGCGCCACTCAATAGTAACTAAGACTAAAAATTATCGGTCGGTACGCTAGAATGTGACCTTTTTTTTACAATCTCTCTCAATTTCGTCTGGGTGTACATGAAAAGTTCGTAAAAAAAAGGAGGGGGTAAAACTTCACGGCCTAGGCCGTGAAAAAAAGACGGTATGGTAGAGTCTCTAGAAAAGAGTCCCTTTACGGACGCCACCCAGCGCTCAGAAGTTGAACTTCTGGAGCGAGTATAACAAAAACTATGTTTTTTTACACGGAACGATTGACAAAAAATTTGTATCGAAATTCTACAAACTTTATGTTATTTTAAAACAGACCATATTTATCGCAAATATTTATCGCATATTTATCGTAAAATATTTTTTACTGTGTTCAATAACTTTCGTTATTTAACATGTCGATTTGTTTTAAAAAAAAATTTCTAAATATTGATCATAATAAATAGTAGAGATCTTAAAAATATACTCACAAGCTATCTAATAAAATCTAAGTCTCTTTCTAAATTAATACTTATTTTTCAAACTACAATCCCAAACTGTATTCGATTGAAATACTTATGCAATCGTCGAAAAATTGTAACAAAAATAATAACTAACAAAAATATATGTTTTATATGCTGTAAATATATTCTTGCATAAATTTTTCAAATTCAAATATTTAATATTCTTGGATCAATATTACTTTTAATATAATCTAGAAATTTGAATAGCGCGCTACGCGCGCGGCTAAATTTTAACCAATAATGAATCGTGGCCCGTTTTTTTGTGAGTTTCGACCTTTGACTAACTTCAAGACTATCATGTATTTTAATTTAAAGGACAAAATTCTTTCTAGGACTTTAAAAAAATATTTCAAGTAATTTTTTTTTAAATTATGTATTATTTCTCTAAATTTAGCGGTTAATTATAGTCAGATAAATAATACGTAATTGGATAGTAAGCACAAGTTATGCAAAAATTCTTAGGCATATAATTAAAAACTATTTAAACAACTGATGCCTTTCTTCACTATTCAGCATGAATTGTTACTCTGTTACATAATAAAATTTACTATTCTTAGATATTTTTAGAAATATTTTTTTACCAGCTCGTACTTGTCATTGTTACAAATAGCAGCTTAATTTGTAATCATTTTGTACATAAACATAGAAGCACATTAGCTTCCATGTCACAAATCGGTCTAGTAAAACTGTCAATTATTAAAAATAAAATTTACAAGCAATAAAAAAACTAAAATAATATTCTTAACAATAATTTATAATTGAATTTTTTTGCAGTATCATATACATTAATATATAGCGCCCAATGCATGAAAAATATTATTCTAATTTCATATAATGAACATAATTTTTTCAATAAAAATTCACAATGAAAATCTATATTTTCATAAGTTTAAAAATAAAAAAAATTAAGTATTGAAATTTAGTCAAGGCTCATTTATTCGGCTCTTCATAATTAAAACTAATGTAGGCAATTAAATTTAGACGCATGGATTCAATTTGACAAAAGCATGAACGAAAATTCATCAACAATGAACGTGATTTTTTTTTAAAGAACAGGAACATTCACTTTTTTACATTTTTTAATTATTTGTTCGAAAAGATCGAAATAAAAAAGGGAAAAAGTGAATTACTTGAAATTGGATATTTTAAAAAAATATTTAATAATAAATTAACAAAAAAAGAAACATTTTCTGCTACCCTAACCCTGTCGTAGGGTGAAAAGAAACGAGAGGGTGGCAATACAACGACTGGTAGTAATGGTCCAACTGAAATGAACGTCGCCTGTACAACCTGCAATTCCAATTCCTGTACACATACAACAACCAATGGCTGTGCAGCAGAGGTATGTCCAATTTAAAAATTATAATTATCTTTTTTTTTTTGTTTGGCATGAATGTTTTTTGAGTATGAATTAAATAATTTTAGTTTATTTAAAAAATTAGAGATAACGCAGTCTTTATTTTTATTGTTTTTTATTTAATTTAAGGATGAATTGTTATTTGTTGTAATACCTTGGACCCGCATTGAGTGTTCAAACTTCAATATATCATATATCCATTAGATTTTTTATTTTTATAATTGTATACAATTTAATTATAATTAAATTAATTGCGGTCAGATTGAAAAACTAGATCTACACGGAGAGAAAATCCTATGAAAAATTACAATGGTAACATAGTAATTTTTAGTGTAAAACATTGTAGTGCCGGACCAGAACTCAAACAATATAATTTATGCGATGCAACATCGTAAATTTCTATCACTCAAATTAAAAAGAAGTGTAGGTCATTGAAAAAATAATTCTGTTTCACCGAGGAATCGAACCCGGTGCCCTCTCCGACTCAAGCCCAAGGTTTTTTTAGTTTATAAATGTTTGTTTTATTGAACCCATAGAAAATTTACAATTATTCCTTAAAACTATTTAATGCTTAAACAAACTAAAACAAGCTTTAATTACATTTTTTGATACACATAATGGCCAGGCTGGGCAACGCAATGCAGTACAACTTTCTTATAAATTCTTGCTCTTTCGAGGTCATTTCAGTTTTTTTTCTTTTTATTTTTTAATTGTATGAATAAATTAATTTTTTTCTATACTGGAGAAGGGTTGTAAACTCCGTTATTGCATTATTATTATTATTATTATTTTTTTTTTATATTTTTTTT